AAGGGTGTGGTCTCAAGGTCACTTCAAAGTTGACCAAAATTTACGTTTTGTTTAATCTTTGATATTTTGCCCACTATAAGGCCTACGATCATCAAATCTTGTTAGTTGATGCATCTTCGGAACTCATATCACGTTGACTCAAAAGTAGGTCATGGTGACCTATTTTTTGAATTTTTCAGGTATTCATTTTAATTTTGATGCATAACTTGGATACTTTGAAGCCTATAATCATCAAACATGTCAGTTTATGCATCATGGGACCTTGAAGTGTGTCAACTAAAGAGTAGGTCACCGTGACATACTTTCTGAATTTTATGGCTGATCATTTTCTAAACATTACAGGTCATTATTTCAAATACTAACAGGTTTAGAATCCTCAAACCTTAAAAGTTTATGCACCTAGGGGCCTTAAAACATATTTATTGAAAACTAGGTCACAGTGACTTACTTTTGGAATTTTACATGTATTCATTTTCAAATTATTGAAGAGGCTTATTTTGACACATTAAAGCATGGGATCATCAAACTTTACCAGTTGATGCATCTTGAGTCCTCGGAGTGCGTCAAACAAAAAGTAGGTCACCTTGACCTAATTTCATGGCTTAATTTTAATATTTTCAGATACTAATTGGCTTAGAATTATCAAATTTCTCAGTTGATGCATCTTGGGTACCCAGAGTGTGTCAACCAAAACGTAGGTCACCGTGACCTACTTTTAGAATTTGATGACTTTTTCAGTTACAAATTGGCTTCGAATCATCAAACTTTGCCAGTTCATGCATTTTGGGTCCTCAAAGTATGTCAACCAAACAGTAGGTCACAGTGACCTACTTTTGGAATTTGATGGCTTTTTTCAGTTACTAATTGGCTTAGAATCATCAAACTTTGTCAATTGATGCATCTCAAATCTTCGGAGTGTATCAACCAAAAAGGAGGTCACTATGACCTACTTTTGCAGTTTCATGGCTTAATTTGAATATTTAGGATACTGGTTGGCTTGGAATTATCAAACTTTGTCATTTTATGCATCTTGGGTACCCGGATAGTGTCAACCAAAATGTAGATCACCGTGACCTACTTAGCAATCTGATCGCTATTTTAGATGGTAATTGGATTAGAATCATCAAACTATGTCAGTTGATGGATATTGGGTCCTCAAAGTGTTACATTTGGAATTCAATTTTGTTTCAGATGCTAATTGGCTTAGAATCATCAGATTTTATCAGTTGATGCATTTTGGGTCCTTGGAGTGTGTTGACCAAAAAGTAGGTCAGCGTGACCGACTTTTGCAATTTCATGTTATTTCTGATGGTAATTGGCTTAGAATCACTTTGTCAGTTGATGCATGTTGAGTCTTCGGAGTGTATCAACCAAAGATTAGGTCATTGAAAATATCTAACTTAGTCAGTTGATGCCTCTTGGGTTCTCGGAATGTGTCAACCAGAGAGTAGGTCACCTCGACCTACTAAAGGAATTTGGTGGCTATTTCAGATAGGAATTGTCTTAGAATCATCAAACTATGTCAGTTGATGCATCTTGAGTCCTCAAAGTGTGTCAACCAAAAAGTATGTCACCGTGACCTACTTTTGGAATTTGATTGCTATTTCAGATAGTAATTGGCTTAGAATCATCAATGTTGTCAGCTGATGCATCTTAAGTCCTCGGAGTGTATCAACCAAAAGAAATTCACTTCCTGACTAAATTTAAATGTTTCAGATACTAATTGGCTTGGAATTATCAAACTTTGTCAGATGTTGCCATGCTGACCTACTTTTGGAATTTCAAGGCTTTACCCTTATATATAGGTTGCCAAGGTTGCTTAAAACAGATGGGATTATAGGTTGTACAATTTTCAGAAGAGTGAATCAATGTCCTTGGACCTCGTTTTTTATTTGCTCGCCAAAGATTTTTCAGATAAATTGACAGTTTCTTCCCCCTGCTCTCTCTATCTCCTTTCCATGATGCCACGTGTACGTGATTTAAATATACTTTCAAATCAGGGTTTATTACCTTATTGCACATCCACAGGACACAACCAATCATCTTCCAAAAGATGATTGGGCTGCTGCGTAAAATGTAAGGGGATTTCTTGGAACCAGGGGTTTTTTTTGTATTAAAAAAAAAATCATTTTTCGACCCCATTCCAAAACCTCACTGCAGATCCACAGGACACCACCAATCATCTACCAAAAGAAGATTGGGCTACCACATTAAATGTAAGACGAGTTCTAGGAACCATGGATTTTATGTATTAAAAACGTCATTTTTCAACCCACAATTGACCCCTAGGGTGAAAATGAAAATTCCGAAACTTACTGCACATCCACAGGACATCACCAATTATTTATCAAAAGATGATTGGGCTACTTCGTAAAATGTCAGGGGAATTCTGGGAACCAGGGTTTTTTGGTATAAAAATATCGTTTTCGACCCCCATTTGACCCGGGGAAAATGAAAATTCCGAAACCTTATTGCACATCGACAGGACACCACCAATTACCTTCCAAAAGATGATTAGGCTACTGCGTAAAATGTAAGAGGAGTCTTTGGAACCATCATTTTGGGGAAAAACGTCACTTTTTGGCCCCCGTTTTGCCCTTAATAATTAAAATTTCAAAACTTTATTGCACATCTACTGGACACCACCTATCAAATTCAAAAGATTATTTGGTTACTGCTTAAAATAAAAGAGAAGTTTGATGAAGAAGAACGTGTGACAGACCAACGGACGGACGTATCAGGGTAAAAACAATATACCCGAACTTTCTTTAGAAAATGCGGGTATAATAATGCGGAATGTAACAATAAAAAAATACATTATTACATTTTTCGTTAATCTTGACACAAAGTGTAACAATCCAAAAATCGTGTTGTTACTTTTTGCATTTACATTCTGCATTGATCGTATGTTGACGTAAATTGTAATAAGGCAAAATGTAATAATTCTAAAAAACTGATTTTACATTTTATATTATTAATTCTGCGTCGATCTCGACGCTAAATGTAATGACGCAAAACGCAATGGTCCAAAAATTGTGTTATTACATTCTGCGTTATTATGTTCTGCATTGATCTCGATGCAAAATGTAACAAAGCAAAATATAATAATCCTTCAAAGTCTAAATTTTACATTCTGTATTGATGTTGATGCAAAATGTAATAATGTAAAAATCCTAGTTTATTACATTTTGAGTTGTTATTACATTTCAAGTTGTAAATAAAGTGCCCCACCACAGCATGATACGCCCGTCAAATATTGTTCAATTATCACAAACAGTTTAGAGTGCAAGAAAATCAAGTCAACCTTGATACAAGGATTTCCAAGATTTTTCCATTTCTTATAATTTTTGTTTATACATTTCCTGTGGTGTAGGCATTATAACAAATATTACATTATAGATCCTCAACTGGTAGTGTTAGAGCTTGACAAATGCCCATCTGCAGCCCCCCCCCCCCTCCCCGCCACACACACACACAGTGACACACACACACACATCTTTCATATTTGTGAGACATGATGTTCTGAAATTTACTAGTTGATATTTTCAAAAAATTAAATAAGAATATCATATTAAACAATATCAATTTAGTCTTAATAACTTAATCTATACCAATTTAATTTTAAAATAAAAGACTGGCCATCAAATGACATATGCTGTAAACTGACCAGCAGTTCTGTCTAATTCACAAAGGATACAGATAAGAGCTGCTTGATCAGAGATCCTCTAACTGAAATGATTGAGACAGCTAGCCTTCCTACACTGAACTCATTAATTAATCTTTAACTGGATGCATGTCCACTCATTACTCCCAAGGGATGAATGGATCTGCGCTATCTGCTTTGTAGTGCAATTAAAATGCATATTTATGTCATTCTGAATTTAAATTTGAAAACGAAGATTTTTTTTTTCAATTTGTTACAAAGATTTATAAAAAGAAAAAAAAATTGTAATCTTGATGCAACATTTTTAATAAGGTTTCTGCTTGACTCTTAGATTTGTAGGGACTATCTACCATAATTAAAACTTTTTTTTTAAATACTTGTTTTTTGTTTTTTTTTAGATTCAATGTCAGAGTGGTTTTAAGCTGCAATTCATATGGACAATGGGCATGCTACATGTAATTCAAATTCCAATATCAACCCCCCCCCCCCCCCCGAGTATAATTAGTTTTAATTAATTAGTTTATGATACGATATCAAATGAGTTTATTATACAATATCAAATTAGTTTTAATTACTTCTCACTAAATTCATTTTAAAAGTTAGGCTAGCCCACAAAAACTATTTAATCCAACATGGCTGATTCCTCTGCCCAATTCCCAAGAGATATAGATAACACCTGCTTGATCAGAGATGCTCTACCAGTTAGCTCCTCACACTAAACTCATTAATTTCTCTCTAATTTGACATGCAATTTTCTGTTATCAAAATTCTCCTTGACCAGTGCTTGATAATTACACCCATGGGAGAGGTGGAATTTCTCTTGTAACATTATATTTGTTATAGATTGCTGTGAAGTATATAATGAAAAAAATTATTATTTCTTGATTTTAACATTTTTTTAATAAGGATACTGCAACACTTTTACATTTTTTGGGATTGTGTAATTTAATAGTAAAAAGAGGTTTTTTTTAAAATTTCACTTAAATTAAAGGTCACAGTGACCTTGAAATAGGTCGCGACACACCTTCTACCTAAGATGCATAAACTGGCCAAGTTTGATGATTCTAAGTCTAATAGTTTTCTAGTTATGAGCCGGACAGGATTTTTCCATATTAGGTCATACCATCTTAATTAAAGGTCAGAACGACCTACTTTTAGTGCGCGACACACCTTCTACCCAAGAAGTATCAGCTGACAAAGTTTGATAATCCTATGCCTAATAGTATTAAAGTTATGAGCCGGACACGAGAAAAGCTAACAGACAGACAGACGGACATGAACGCCATCTAAAGACGGGCGTATAAAAAGCACACATAGCCAGTAATCAAAGCAAATATATTTTGCTGTAAAGATTTATTGATTTGTTGAATAATCATTTCCATAATCTCTATCCTTTTGCTTCAGAGGAATATTTCCTGAAATACAAAGCGATGAAGTAATTACTTTCAGAAAATTTTATGGTAGATGTGAATAAAAATCATTCTTACATTTTCTTGTGATATTCTGGATTATAAACTTGAAGACTGGCAGATCAAACAAGAGGCCCATGGGCCACATCACTCACCTGAGTCACTTTGGCCTTCTGTTTTTTCATCAGATTTTTCCTCTTGTAATACTTTGATTCCCTATTGTGGCCCCACCCTAACACTGGGGGTATGATTTGAACATTTTAGAATCTACATAACCTCAGAAAGCTTCCACAAAAGGCTCAGCTTTACTGGCTCAGAGGTTCTTGAGAAGAAATTTTTTTTAAAAAGATTTTTGCTATATGTTTCAATGTAAAACTTTGATTCCCTATTGTGGCCCATACTAACCCCCTGGGGCCATGATTTGAATAATTTAGAAACTATACTACCTCAGGAAGCTTCCACAAAAGTTTCAGCTTTACTCGCCTTGTGGTTCTTGAGAAGAAGATTTTTTTAGTGATCCCACCTTATTTTTGTCTTTTCTTGATTATCTACCCTTTGAAGGGGGCATGGCTCTTCATTTTAACAATTTACACTCCCCATCTCCAAAGGATGTTTTGTAGCAACTTTGGATAAAATTGGCCCAGTGATTCTTAAGAAGTTGAAAATGTAAAAAGTTTACAGATGGATGGACTGATGAAGGACAACGGATGATCAGAAAAGCTCACTGGAGCTTTTAGCTCAGTTGAGCTAAAAATCAGAGAACATGCCTTTTATGAAATAAAACCTAATACAAGTATCCAGTATACTTTTATTTTTAGCTTTCAAAAAAATGAATATTTCATATACCTGGTGGAGCAACATAATAGTCCTCAATGGTTTTTGATGCATTCTTTAAGATATCATTTAGACAATTTCCATCCATTACAGTGTCTTCTCTCAAATACAATTTTCTGATGAATAAAGAATACTCATGAATGGATGAATGGCTATTTAATTTTTCTCATCTATAGTATAGATACTTATTTGCTGTACATAAATGATGTGGTACCTATCTTCTAGAACTGAATCAATTGGCTCAACATTATCAGTGTTGACTGCATTTAACTGATTTGCTGACTGCACAGCCTTATTTAAGCGATCTACAGCCTCCAGATTATTAAACTGAACCAAAGATAGGCGCTCCAGTAAGTCTACAATCTCTTTGTCTATATTTGGTTCCTATAAAGGAAAAGTATTAGAATAATACTTGTCATAATATGATCTCAAACCATATACTCTAATGTTTACATCAACTAGGGTATGCCCTTGCAATATTGAAATTTGTTTGTGACCTACATACAGTACACATTACATGCATTTATCACGTGACTGTCAAATAATGTGACCAAACCAAATTCAGTACTGAGCGGGGTATACAATGTTATTTCAAATAATATTAAAGTTACATGATAATATAGTAATTGTACAGCTATTCCACAAATCTGACAGACAAAAAGACAAAAAATGCTAAAAAAAAAAAAATTCTCAATTTTCATTTGTTCGTTTCTGGTGCAATTCCTTCAGGCACAAAAGGGCTATCAAAAGCTGGGATTCTCGATATTTTGATTCTGGTTTTATCTAAAAATTGATGCTATCTAAAAATGCTGCATCTGAATGTTGCATATCACAAAAAGGAAAATGGGCGACTGGAAGCATGTGTACCACAGTCTACAATTGCAAGAGGTTTTAATGTTATGCACAGCACCATTAATCTAACCTAAGAAACAAATACCATTAACATGGAACACCCAATGTTTGCCAAAAATATGGTGGACCATGCGTGACATCAGCAGCAGACGATCGCTTCAGTGGTTTACGTTATTTTCATTAATGTTTCACAATGACGTCATCAACGGCATTAACTATCCCTGAACTGCACAGAACATCTTACAAGACCATTTGCAGTTGATTACGGAAATCTGGAATTGTTGCTAGAGGATTATTTATGCCTTTGTTCTGACCCACAACACCTCAAATGTCGACTTCAAAGTTCTAAGATCAACAGAGTATGGCCACAGCAACACCGCTGAACATTTTAGTTTAACTACTAGTCCAGAATGTTTATCACAAAACCCCTTGTAAGTTTAAGAGTGCATAAGCTTCGTAATGAACATTTAATAGAAAACTGCCTCCAGGACATTGATAGATTTGATGGTGGTAGTGTAATGAGATGAAAAACAGTATTACATAAAAGTAAGACTGATTTGGTTCATGTTCAAAACTTTAATGGAGAAAGGTACTCTAACGATGTTCTACCTGCACACGCCTTTCTAGTATTGCAGCATCCTGCAGCTGTATTTTAATCTGACAATACACAGCCACATACGGCTCCGCTTGACAATCATATTCTTGCAAAGCAACAGCAACCCAGTGTGCAAAACTAAACAGGAGAATGAAATAGCCCATTGGGCTATCTCATTTTAAAGTGGGATAGACCGTAGACAAATGGGACTGTCCACAAAAACATGAAAAAGTAAAGACGAAAAATGTGCACTTGTTCTTATTCATATATTTATTTTTTATTTTTTAATATTCATAATATTGAAGTTAGGGATGTCAACCAATATTGGAGTACTCGACTATCGTTCGATCATACCGACTATCGACTAAAACTTTTTTAGTCGGTTATTCATTTATGTGTTAAAAATTTGCTACTTAAAATTTGCTACTTAATAGTAATCTTAAATTAGAGGTAATAAAATTGGATCGCAAAGCTCATTTATTAACGTATCAGTGTTTAGTGTCCTCGTGAGTAAGCTTATCCGGTCTTCGTTAATTGTTCAAAGATTTTTTTTCTTCGGCAAACATGCATTGGCATACTTTAAAAGATGTCAGATCCAAATTGTAAAGTTTCAACCTGCAATACCATAAGATGTCATATAACGCAACTATCAACTAATGAAGAATAATTAAACAGCTGTTACGAATTTGTAAATACATGTAAATTCCCATACTAAAATAAAGTACAAAAAAGTATATTTTAATGCAACTTTTATACTATATAAATTTGTGCTTTTTAGAAAAAGGTCAGAAAAAGTATACTTTTTTGAGAATGAAGACTTGTGCCAGTTTGATTAGGATGTTTTAGCAGTTAACAAGGGCATTCAGAATTTCTTGTGGCTTTATTAAATAAAATAATTTCAGTTAAAAAACAAACAAACAAACAAAATGGCGACGACGATCATAAAACGAACTGGCGATCACGATGATGGTAAAGCTACCTATCGAGTACTAGTATTACACAGAAAACGGCTTTAAAATAAATTTGATGACTTAAAAAACATTATTACGGGAATTTTTGGTGTTTTTATGAACTAATTTAGTAATTATTTATTTCCTTTTTTGATCACGTGACTCTTACGAAGTCTACGATTGGTCAACAACGAAGCGCGGATTTTTTCAGAGACGATTTGAAAATTGGTGGGATGGAAATGCCGAGAACAAAAAGGAGATAAAGAAGTCGGTAAGACTATATTTATATTTAAATTTTATATGTTGTTAGCAGGAAATGCATTTTACCACTTTAGAAATGTATTCAGAGGAGAATTTCAATGTAGATTTTTCGTAATTGTGGACATTTGTGTCTTCAATTTCTGGTTTGTTTTGATCAGTATGACGATGTATATAAACTTTAGTTAACATGCTGAATCATGCTTTTTCTCTGGCTCAGTGTAACATGAATCATTTAGTTCCTTGACATATTCAATTCTTCAAATATTTCAGTATAATTCATGCAATAGGTTTATAATACAGTCAGCATTGGTCAGTATCTGGTAACATTTACTGTAGCCTAGCTAAGTCTTGGCATGGTAAAAAAAAAATACATATCAAATCTACTGAATTTTGTAAGATTAAAGTTTGTAAAAGTAATGGATTTTTGTTAAACATGTTAAAAGGTAGAAAAGTGTGTGTGTTGTGGGTGGTGGTGGTGGGGGGGGGGGGGGGGGGATTGAAGGGGTAGTAATAATCATGTGGTTGATTAAACAAGCAAAAAGTATCAGCATTTACATGTATCTGAAAAATTTTAAACTTGAACTGGATAGTTATACTGATCATCTTTCCAGGGTGAAAAGAACTTAAAAGGGGGGGGGGGGGCTATATAAACATAATATTGAGACACATGATTATTTTTTCTATTTGCTGAAATAACATTAGGAATTTAGACAGGGATATCAAACTCACTTTACAATTTTTTAAAATCATTGTCAGGTTTAAAAAAATGAAAGTAATTAAATGTTGTGTGTGGATATAATGCCGGAGAAGTTCTTAAACATTCAAGTTACCTGATTTTTCTTTTATAATTTTCAGCAGTGCATGCATGCATTTTTTGCCAATTGAGCATCTCACTAACATGCAGAGCCATAGGAAAATGCTTCAGCAATTTAAGTGTATCTTATCATCCGTAAGTACATATTAATCTAATTTGATTTCTGTAAAATACAAAAAAGACATATCAAATTAGTAGGTTTGTCTGTCCTTAATATACTCATGCACTGAAAAGACTTATTTTAAAATTTTATAAGTGATAGGGATGATCGGGGGTTAATTTTTTGGATTTTCACATATGAATTTTTAGTTTTAATTGGTTTTCAAGTTATTTGAACATTAAACTGAATATACAAGAGGCCCATGGGCCACAGCGCTCACCTGAGTAACCTTGGCCTTGCTGTTTTTCACCTGATTCCTCCCCCCCCCCCCCCCGGTAGTACTTATTGTGGCCCGGCCCTACCCCCAGGGGTCATGATTTGAACAATTAGAATCTACACTACCCCGGGATGCTACCACATAAGTTTCAGCTTTTCTGGCCCAGTGGTTCTTGAGAAGATTTTTAAAGACTTTTTCTGCATATTTCAAGGTAAAACTTGGATTACCTAAGTGGCCCAGCCCTACCCCCGGGGGTCATGATTTGAACAATTTACAATCTACACTACCCCAGGATGCTTCCACATAAGTTTCAGCTTTTCTGGCCCAGTGGTTCTTGAGAAGAAGATTTTTAAAGATTTTTACTATATATTTCAATGTAAAACTTGGATTCCCTATTGTAGCCCCGCCCAACCCCTGGGGGTCATGATTTGAACAATTTACAATCTACACTACCCCAGGATGCTTCCATATAAGTTTTAGCTTTTCTGGCCTAGTGGTTCTTGAGAAGAAGATTTTTTAAAGATTTTTACTACATATTTCAATGTAAAACTTGGATTCCCTATTGTGCCCCCCCCCCCCCTACCTCCAGGGGTCATGAGTTGAACAATTTAGAATCTACACTACCCCAGGATGCTTCTACATTAGTTTCAGCTTTTCTGGCCCAGTGGTTCTTGAGAAGAAGATTTTTAAAGATTTTTACTGCATATTTCAATGTAAAACTTGGATTCCCTATTGTGGCCCCGCCCTACCCCTGGGGGTCATGATTTGAACAATTTACAATCTACTCTACCCCAGGATGCTTCCACATGAGTTTCAGCTTTTCTGGCCCAGTGGTTCTTGAGAAGATTTTTTAATGACCTCACCCAATTTTTGTATTTTCTTGATTATCTCCCCTTTGAAGGGGACTTGGCCCTTCATTTTCACAATTTAAACTCCCCTTCACCCAAGGATGCTTTGTACCAAGTTTGGTTAATATTGGCCCAGTGGTTCTTGAGAAGAAGTCGAAAATGTGAAAAGTTTACAGACGGATGGACGGACGATGGACAACGGGTGATCAGAAAAGCTCACTTGAGCTTTCAGCTCAGGTGAGCTAATGATTCTATATGTCAGTCTGCCATGTATTAAGCACAGGAATTCTGCTTTTTGAGAACATGTTTGATTTAAAACTGAAAAAAAATTATGCTTTGATTATTTAACTTTTTTTTGCAGAACCCAAGGAAAAGTACTTGAAGGCTGAAATCATTTAGCATATTCAAATGAAGATCAGTGAAAAAAATGGGTGACATTAACACTGCTATGTGGTCAAAGGTTAGTGCACTGAACTGTGTCAGCAAGAAAATTCAAACGGGAGGGAAAGATGGGATGACTATACTGTGAAGGAGCGCAGATGATCTGTGAGCTTGATCAATCAGTGACATAACCATGCATTATAAGTTACTAGACTATAAAGGATCAGATCTTGTTATTTACAAAATTATAATCCTGTTGATGATTTAATGTTCCAATATATTCTTTAAATTATTTATGGAAAATTA